AACCAGAGCCAAGTCTCTCAATAATATTACTTTAATTAATTCTATTACATAGGTGTCTGATTTTCACTAACAAATCTTTAAACTCTACTATTATTTATTACATATCAGATAATATTTAAAATATTTAATAATCACAGGGACAGGCAATTGTTCACCAGGAAAGTGGTTGGCAGGGATGCTGGGCTGGCGACCAGGACAGTCCCTCATTCCAATCTTAGACCATAATTGATGCTAAATAATACAGAAGTCTACAGTGGTACAGAAAAGAAGAGTCTGGTGATTGGTGAGGGAACTCATCAGTAAGTACAGATGCATAGTGGTATCAAAGGCCTCCTACTGTGCCTAAAAGTAACCTTTTGGTTGCTGAGTTATGAGTAGGTAGGAGATGTACTTGGAATGCTCTTGGCACTATGCATTTACTAACCATTCAATACTATTTTTAAAAATCTTAACTAGTATGGACATGTATCTATATACCAGAAGTATATGAATCATAAAGAAAAGCAACAAATACTATCATCATCGATGTGACAGAATTTTATTTTACAATCTAGAGTTAAAAAGTTTTTCAATTTACCATCCTGAAAGCAAAAGCTGTTGACAGTTTAGTAAACTAAAGCCTTCACTATCTCTTCGTCTTGGAAAACTTTCCAAACTTTCAAAAGTTACTTAATGAGAAAAAAATTGAAAGCCCAAACCCTCTCATTATTAGTCATGACCTATAAATGGTGGCAATTTTGCTTTTTCTTTATAAAATTACCACACCTTTATTTTAAATGAATTATCCCATACATTCATCATATATTGTAATGAACTGAAGTGAAAACTAACATCCATAGATATTTCTCCCCTTATAAATACAAGCCATCATTTTACTAAGTTTCTTTCAAATAATACCAAACTCTTTTAGTACATTGGTTTTCTTTAAAACACCCACACAAACAAAAACCTGTGGCTAGAAAAGATGGGAAGATGAAATGTATTCATAAAAACTTATAACAGACTGTGTAATTAGAAAATTTGGAATCTAATTCTATCCCCGTGATACTGGAAATGAGACCTCAGAAATTACTGTTGCCCTGTAAGCCTCAGTTTCCTCTACTGTTCCTCAACAGAACTACAATATTAGATTGCCAAAGCAAGCAATGTGATTGCAGCATAGCAATAGCAGGTGACATAAATTTGTGTCTCTTTTGTCTTGCTTCTACTGAAAAAAACAGATAATTGAATGATAGGTTATGAAGCTACCATATTGCAGAAAAATAACTATGCTGAATAAAAAACTAACACTTAATGTAATGCTAAAATCATTGTTTATTTTTTTACAGCATAACTTAACACGCTCTTGTAGCAGAAAAGGTAAAAAAATAAAACACAAAAAAATATTTATAATTTCTTCATAATTGTACAACCAGAACTAACCAGTATAAGTAGCTTATCTGGTTAGTGTATATGACATACAATTGAATTCAACAGTATATAATGTTGCTACTTACATTTTTTACCCTCAAATTTATACTTTTAAGCCAGAAAACATAATCCTCTATTTGTTGCTAATGATAGTGAAGACAAGTCCTTGTCCCAGAGTGGCAGGGTGCACCCAGGCATGCTGAAGTGCAGGAGGTGAGCACAGGTCCAGGCCAAGTGGAGCCTACCATCCCAGTGTGGGCCTAAGGCACAGTGAGTCAAAGCCAAGTAAGTCAGGGCATGTCGACCTGTCTTATCCAGGCAACCCAGGCAGGGCCAGTACAGATGTCTGCTCCACGTAGCACCAACAAACCCCAAGCATTCACAATATGTTGACCTCAATCTCCTGCTTTCTGACAGCAGTACAAGTAGGGGCAGACCCCAATGAAGACTGCAGGAAAGTTACTTAAGGGCTAACCAATAGTGTTGATACTTTTTAAGACCTGTTTAGCATAAATTTGGATCAACACTGTTGACCCAAGAACTATATAAATCTCTAGGCTAACACTGGCAACACCTATCAGGTCCCCTCTACCCACAAGAGTTCTGCTTCTTTTTTTCACACTTGAATAAATCCTACTCTTTTACACTCACTCTTCCTTATAGGGGAATTTCATTCTTTGAATTCATGACACAAGAACCAGAAAGAAACTGGCAGTGAGCTACTGGAGTCTGATGCAACATTGGAGAGGAAAACCCATTTAAAAGCTGCAACTGGCCACTCTCTGGCTTTGCTGGCTGTGAATCTAGAACCTGAAGCCAGTAGGTATTCCCTGCTGTGAATAGCTGCTAACACTAAAATGGGCTTTGTTGGTTGCAGAGGCCTACAGCTTATTCAGACTCCACCTACCAGTAGAACAGAGACTCTAGTTTCATCTCAAACCCTAGTTTCAGTACTACGGATTGAACCCAGGGCTTCACACATAAGCACTCTATCACTGAGTTACATCCTCAGCTCTTTATATGTTATTCTAAGACAGGGAATAAGTTGCCTAGGCTTATCCTGAAATTGAGATCCTCCTGCGATAGCCTCCTTAGAAGATAGGATTACAAATATGTGTCATTGCACCTGGCAGAAAACAGCATTTTTCAGGAATAAATATTTTATCAAGGGCAATACATATTGTGTAACTAGTCTACTAATCATAGAAATTTTAAATTTTCCCAATCTTTTATTATGCTTTTTTAAAAATCTTAAAATTAACATGACTGTATATATAAATCCTGTGATCTGCTTTTTTCCCAAGAGGGTCTATAAGAGGCAAACTTAAGGAAACCCAGTAAAATTGACCGAAGTATTGATTATACTGCACTCTATCTTTATTAACTCCAAAATAAATTTAACTGAAACCTGGTTTCCATTTTTGTCATGTGTTCAGAGATTGTAGCACCACAACCTATAGTTGTGCTACAATAGTTGTGCCAGAAACTGTGAATTTGATCGTCTTGGTCAGCTCAGGCTGCTACTACATCAAAATAAAATAAACTGGGTGACTTAAACAATAGACATTTATTTCTCACAGATCTAGACACTGATTTGAAAGATCAAGGTGCTCGCAGATCTAATGTCTCATGAATCCTAGCTTTCTGGCTTGCAGGCAGACACCTTCTCACTATATGATCAGGAGGCCTTTCCTTGGTGACTTGAAAGAAAGAGAGAAAAGGACAGAGATAGAGAGAGAAAGAGGAAGACAAAGGAAAAGTGACGGAAAGAGAAAGAGAGAAAGATCAATCTCCTTATAAGGGCACTAATCTCACCAAAGGCATCACCCTCTTGATTAAACTCAATTATTTTCCGAAGGTTCCACTTTCAAATACCATTACACTGTGGTATTTGGGATGAGGTACAAATATTCAACGTATAAATATGACCTTACCTGGAAAAAGAAACTTTGCATGTATTTAATAATCAAGGTAAGGTTCTTGAGATCATACTGATTAGGGTAGATAATGAAAAATTCACTGGTTAACATGAGAAGAAAGAGTAAGAGAAAAGACAAACAAAGGAAAAAAGCCATGTAAAGATAAATGCAGAAAACATAGTGAGATGTACACAAGCCAAGAAATACCAAGGGTTGCCAAGGATTTCTAGTAACCACCGAAAGTTAAAGGCTCAGGCTCTTTCAGAGCCTCTGGAAGGAATCAACTCTGATGACACATTTACTGTATACTTCTGAACTCCAGTTTTGAGAGAGGATGAAGTTTTTGTTATTTTAAAATACCAAAATACATACTATTTTTCTATAGCAGCCCTAGGAATGTAATTCACCCCCAATTACATTTAAGATTAACATCATCCACTGTTTGCAAAGTTGTTTCATCTATTTTTTATCAAACTTTTCTGAATTGCCTTATTAATATTTGGTCATCCAACTAGGCATAATCACAGTGCATGCCTGTAATCTCAGCAAGTTGGGTGGCTTGGGCAGGAGAATCAATAGTTTGAAACCAGCCTCTTCAATTTAGTGAGATCCTCAGCAACTGAGAAAGGTCCCATCTCAAAATAAAAAATAAAAAAGGATTGAGAATGTAGATCAGTGGTAAAGAGCCAGGTTCAATCTCTAGTAGAAAATTTAAATAGTTGGTCATGCATTATTTTATTTTTAAAAGCAGTATGATTATCACCATACTTATGTTATATTAATGGAAAATAATAATCTAGCTGTAGTCCTATTATATTTTTTCCCACTTAGTCATAATAATATCTTTAAATGCAGGAAGTATATCTTTTTTTTTTTTAATGGTACTGGGTATTAAACCCATAAGTACTCTACTACTGATTTACACCCTCAGAGCCCCCGGCTTTTTTCATTTTCTTTTTTTCCAGACAGGATCTCACTAAGTTGCCCAGGCTAGCCTTGAACTTCTAATCCTTCTGCCTCAGATTTCAGGTATGCACCCCAATGTCTAGCCAAGAACTATGTCTTAAATGTTTTTGCTTTAAGCCATTTCACCTAATATGGTGCCATATATAAAGAGCATAATTCAATAACTTTCCATTGATAAAGTAAAGAATGATTGGGGCTTGGGTTGTAGCTTAGCAACAGAGTGCAAGGCACTAGGTTCGATCCTCAGAACAACAGATAGATAAATAAATAAAGGTGTTGTGTTCAACTTCAACTAAAAATATTTTTTTTAAAATGAATAATTAATTTTTCATTATATATTAAGCTAACCTTATTAAATGGCTTAGAATACTAGAGGAATCATTTTAAAATCTTAACCAACCATATTCGCATTCCCTAATGGTTAAAAAAACAATATTTAATATTAGCAGACCTAAAATTTATGCTTGGAAATTAATAATATTCAAAACACAGTGAGTATCACCAAAGTTAGAAAGGATATAAGTCAAAGCACCAGCAAAACTTCTTCTGTAGTGCAGATTTAATATGTGGTTACAAATAAAAGTAGTTCATTACATTATGTTTGTATTATATACTATAGTTTCTTAAAATATAGTTGTTAAATAATTTTCACAATTACCTAAAAAAAGTACTAAGTAAAAAAAAAAATCTAGGTAAACAACATACCTGAGTTCGTAAAATTTCATTTTTTGACAACTGCATATCACCAGTCAATTCTTTCACAATGATACCCAGTGGCTCTAGACGTTTGCTGAAGTAATTTGTCATTTCAGCTGCCAAGGCTTTCATTGGAGCAACATATACAATCTGTATCAAAGGAACACTAGCTTGATGAATGAGCAAGAACTACAATGTCATTTGCTTCACAGTAGCCAATATAAGTCACAATTTATTGTGAAATATGATTCCAGCTACTTCCTGTGAGAAAAAAATCTTAATAGTGATATATGAAAAGTATTATCTTTGTTGGATAAGTGGGTAGCTATTTAAAGGACAACGGAATTTGTTTACATAGTTTTATCATTTGGAAAATTGGTTCTGCTTCAAAGCTAATGTATTTTCATAGCTTTTCACAAGGGTAATAGGATTTTCATAAAACAAATAGGGACTGCCTTAATAATGAAATAACTTAAGCAGTATTAGTTGTGTGACTTCAAGTACAATAAATATCCTAAAGAACTTCCAGATTTCATTTAACATATATAACTACAAGTTTATTTTAATTTTCAGGATTTAAAAAGCTATTGTTTGTTATTTACTTACCTTAAATTCATTCTTTTTGATAACACCTTGTTGAAAATGTTGGCGAATTTCATGCAAGACTGTAAGCATTGCAATATTGGTCTTTCCAGCTCCAGTAGGGGCACAAATCAACATGTTCTCATTGGTGTTGTAGGCAGTCTCAAATACTATTGACTGAATTCTGTTAAGTCTCCTCATTCCTTTAAAAGCCAACTGTCCAATCTAAAAACAAAAAAGCATCATTCATTATAAACTATGATAATGTGAAGAACTCATACAAAACATAAAATACAAACATTAATTCTCTTTGAGTTTTAAAAAAAGAATTTGTTCAGTTTCTAGTACATCCTATTTTTGAACTTACGACAAATTGTGAAAATACAACTGTTGCCCAATTCTAATGCATTTGGAAATGACAACTTAATAAATATGAAATGAGACTACATTGGCATTTTTGTACACACAATATGTAAGTACAAAACAATGATAAATTAATAATGTATCAAAGTAAAATTAAGTGAAGATATTTTAAAGTTCAAGTTTATTTAGAAATTTCATGATAATGTTCTACTTTATTTAATTTGAAAATGACTAGTGATAGAGCAAACAAAAAACTTCCTGGAGATATAAATAAATGGGAAATTCTATTTCAATATTTTATAAAAAATGTTTTTTTTAAAGTTTTTAAAAACAAAGCAGTAATATTACGAACAACAGTTAAAGATTTACGTATTACATAAAGTTCATACTGCAGCAAATGCAGTTGTAGGCACTTCGCTATTATTTCTTCATTTAATCCTCAAAAAATTATATGATATGTTATAATATGTCCTCTTAACAGAAAACACTAACACATAGATTGGTAAAATAATTTTTCCTTAAGTCTTTCTATGTGAAGAATCCTAAGTGACGAAAACTAAAATGTCTAAGAGTAAACAAAATGGGGGTTGAGATTAATCACAGGAACCTAGAATGACATAAATGTCAGAAAAAAATAAATTTTGAAGCCAAGAATATTGCCAGCAATAACGAAATTCATTTCATAATTACAAAGAGATGAATTAATCACCAGGATATTAAATCTCAAATATTTACATATTTAAAAATAGGTCTTAAAAATAATAAAGCAAAAACAGTAGACATGCAAAGAAAAATAGAAAAATCCACCAGCACAGTAAAATATTTCATTGTCCCTCTCCAAAAGTTGTAGAGAAAATATTGCTGATATGAAAACCAGCAAGGTTACAGTAAACCAAACAGTACTATCAACCAACTTCACCTGATTAAATTTATTCATCTAAAAATAGAATACACTTTCTTCCCCAATGTTATTGAACATTTGTGAAGATATAATATATACTGTTTCATAAAATATAAACATACCTGCATTGGTCTTGATAAACTGAAAAAGCAAATCTTATAAAATCTGCTCTCTGATCACAATGAAATTAAATTAGTTATCTTTAATAGAAAGTTTCTTAGAACACATCCAAATACAGGTTAAGCATCCCTAATCTGAAAATCCAAAATGCTCACAAATCTAAAACTTTCTGAGTACCAATCTAAATGTATTCACATCAGGAAATCTGGTTTCATGCACAAAATTATTAAAACGTACAAAGTTGTCTTCAGGCTATATATAAAGATGTATATGAAACATAAAGTGAATTTTGCCTTCAGTCTTACTTCCTATCCCCCAGTAATCTCATTATGCGTATGCTAATATTGAGAATTTTTTAAAAAATCTGAAATCTAAAAATATTTATACTCTCAACATTTTTGGATAGGATATTCAACCAATTAAAACTAAATGACTTACTTCCTAAATAAGGTATTAATGAAAAGAAATTCTAATGGGACATTAATAGATATTCTTAACTAAAGAAAATGAGAATTTCATATATATAAGTATTTACAGATGTTGGAAAAGCAATATCTAGCAGAAAATTTCTAGCAGTAACTTTCAATATTAAGAAGAAAAATTTCAAATAAATGGCTACTTTATCTTTCAAAGTAAAACTAGAAAAATAAAAAAATAAAACAAAAGCAAATAGAATAAAAGAGATAATAAAGATGAATACAATAAACATAAAGGCAATTCTTCAAGATTAATAAAATTCATAAATCTCAAGTCAGACTGTTCAGGAGAAAAAAGGAGAGAAAACACAAATTGGCCCTGTCAAGAATGAAAAATGTGGTATCACCACAGATGCTACAGAAAATTAAAGAGTGATTAAAAAAATATTAAGAACAATTTTATATCAAAAAGTCTGTGCAGATGAAATGAACATGAACAAATTAATAAACTGGACTTAAGCAAAATGAAAAACATGATTTTCAAGACACTGTTAAAAAAAGAGAAGTCATATAATGGGATAAAAATCTTTGCAAAACATAAAGTCCTTGTATTCAGAATATATAATTTTCTAAATATAATAATCAGAAAACAGTGCAACTTCAAAAACAGACAAAATATATAAACAGTCATTTCACCAAGGAGAATATAAAGATGGCAAATGAGTGCACACACATATACAAAGATACTCAGCTGTTGAGAGCCACAGTTTAGTCAGAATGACGCCTGGCATTTTTGCCAGAGAGAATGGTTGAAAGGTGACCCTGCTCTGGGATTAGGGCGGCTCCAGGATTAGGGCGGATCCTGCTGCCTCCAGCGCCTGCTACTTTGGAGTTCCCCTTGAGTTCTTGCGGGGTTCTGAGAGAATTGGCGCGCAGAGCCTGGTGGAGGCAGTGTGTTCCTGGGAAGTGTGTGTAGAGTGCTGGTGAGAGTTCGGGGATAAAGGTTGCTGTTTGAACCTAATAGGCTGTGCGGCGGCTTGGTTATTTTGTGCCCAGCCAGACTGCGGCACTCAGCATCATTAGTCATTAAAAAAATGAATGTTGCAATAACAATTTGTACCTATTCAAATAGATTAAATCTTTAAAAGTGACAAAATTTTTTATTTTTAAAATTAAAAGCAAATTAAAAATGTTAATGAGGATTTGGAGAAACTGTAATTCACACAAACTGATGGCAGAGGTGTAAAATTACTTTGGAAAACAATTTGGTAATGCTTAAAAAGTTAAATAAACATATACCCAACATATATTCCAGCTATATCTCCTTTCTAAGATTTACTCAAGTGAAAGGAAATATATATGCAAACAAAAACAAAAATTTTATTTGTTACAGTACAAAACAAGAAAACAACTCACAGATCACTCAATAGCTGAAAAGATAACAAAATGTTACATATTCACTGACAGAATACCATACAGCCATAAAAAAAAAAAATGAATTCTTGAGACCTGTAATGAAATACAGAAATCTCAAAACAATCCTGTTGAATGAAAGAGACCAGACAAAAATGGAATACATATTTTATTCACTGATATAAAAGTCTAGCACACATAATCAAATCTGTCCCAAAGAATGATTAGTAGATGTGGTAGGTAGCATTAAAGAAGAAGAGAGATTATGTGGACTAAAATCATCTTTTAGAAATGATGATTATAGATGGTCACTGTCTTGATTGTGGTGACAGTTTCACATGATAAATCAATATATATATATATATAAAGTAGCCATATTATATTATATATATAATTGGACTAAAAACTTATAATAAAAGTCTGTTAAATAACACAGCCACATCAATGTTTATGGCAGCACAATTCACATGCGAAATTTATACACACACACACACACACACACATATATATATATATATATGACATATAAATGACAATTTGCTTCAATAAAGCTTTTTATTTCAATTTTACCTTTTATGTACGGCTTGGAATAGAACCTAGGGCTTTGCACATGATAGGCAAGTGCTCCACCACTAAGCTACATACCTAACCCCTTTCTATTATATTTTGAGACAGAATCTTATTAACTTGCTTAGGCTGAACTTCAATTTGGAATACTCCTCTGACTTAGCCTCCCTTTGTAGCTGAGATTACAAGCGTGCACTACCGTGCATAGTTCTCAACAAAGCTATTAAAAAATTAAAATAATATAAAATGAAGTAGCAACTTATTTATTAGATTTATGCTTTATTAGGACAAAGATGTTAGAAGAGATCAGGAGAAGTAAATATTGGGCCTAGAAATTCTAAGGCAAGCCAAGTCAAACCTCAAACTACCAGTGATACATTCTTTATCAACTTCTACTGATCACTCAGTACTGGAACACCAGCACAGCATGCTTTTCAGGTCTAGGGAACAGATTAAATATTGTATTTGACAATGTTTGTACTATAAATATTGAATAAAGTAAAGATTTCTGAATTCCATTTCCTCATCTGCAAGACAGGTAATATTATATAAGAAGATTATAAAGATTAATTTTTAAAAGTATAACAATTATGGAGTGCTGACTAAAGGCAAAAAAAAGATAAGTCCATTACATTAATTATCCTTATTATTTCTAAGAACCATATCAAATTACATTTGTGTACAATGAGTCGAAATGCATTCTGCTATCATGCATAATTAGAACAAATTAAAAAAAACATTTAATTAAAATTCTTTTGGCCAGTTGTCAGCATAAAATCATTAAATAAAAATTTATTAAGTAGCCTATTATGTTACTGACAGTTGATCAGGAACTGGGGTAATATACAGTAAAATTGTTGGTTTCAGTCCAGTGGGCTGTATATTCATTTAAATAAATAATTTCATATCAAATTATTTTACAGATGAGAAAACTGAGACTTCAAAAGGCTTGTTTAAATTCAAACAACCATAAACAGTGGAGCCGGGTTTTGAAGTAACTTCAGAATTCCAGTCTTGAATTAGATGTTCATAACCATACATAAAACAGTACTTGTTAGATGTTGAAATAAACCAATATTATCATTACAATCATATCTTGCTAAGCCAAGATAGTGCTGTCAATGAATACTGAAATTTTCAGTCTTCATAGACTCATTTCAAGAAATGGAGACTACTGTTTCTAAATTATAAATCTAATCACTCCATTCTAGCTTGAAATTTTCCGAAGTCTTCTCGTTGCCAATTTTGACTGAATACGGTACACAGCATATAGAATCCTTCCAGACACAGTATGCAGGACTCTTCAAAACATGAGCCCTTGTTATTACTCTTCCCACCACCATCTGAACAATTTTATTCCTTCACGTTATATAGAAAACCTTTCCTAACCATAAGAAACTCTTCATTATAATTCATTTGAACATTCAAAAGTAATTTCTGGTTTC